CTCTGTGGCTATGTCACTGACTCTGGGCCCAGGAGTTCCCAGGTCTTGCCACACTGCTGGCCAACCAGGTCTGCACCCGGGTTCACACAAGTCTATTGAACTTTGTAGGGCTTAGCTCACAGCTTCATTGCTGTTTTTCCCTCACTTCCCCTTACTGATGACGAATGTGGTCACCAATCAGAGTGTGTATTCCCACTGAGTCTTAGTCTTGGAAGGGAGTTCTATTTTATCTAAATACACTTTAGCTTCCTCTCCATAAAACACTTCTACAATTGCAACATTTATTTCCTCTTTGTTTTGAAGCTGTCATCTTTCACAAATTGATATCTCCAGTTTCCTATTTTCAGTCTTGCAGCTTTATTTTTGGCAAATTCTTTATCTTGATTAGTTTCTGGATGATGTTGTCATATGTCTTAATCTCAGGTTACTGTCTGAAGTTGTTAGTTCTCTGTCCAATGGACTCCCTTTAGAATTTCTTATAAAATAATCCTGGTTTTTACAAATCTCCTTAATTTCTGCTTATCTGAAAATGTCTGTCTTTCACCAGTGTATATGAGGGTCAATTTTGCTGGATATATAAATCTTGTTTGGCAGTTTTCTGTCTCAGGGTTTTATACATTGGCTTCTTGCCTTCATGGTTTCTGCTGAGAATTAAGAGCTTAATCTTATTGGTTCTCCTTGATAAGTAACATTTCATTTTTCCCAAGGTGCTTTCAGGATTGTCTTTGGTTATAGACATGTTGATTATGCTATGTATTGGTGATTTTCTTTGGAGGCTTATCCTATTTTAGATTCACTGAACTTCCTGAATGGATATTTCTTTTTCACGATACTAGGGATATTTTCTGACACAACGCTTTGAAAACATTCTCTGTACTTTTATTTTTGTCTCTTCCTTTTATGGAATTCTGATCATGTGTAAATTATTCCTCCTGATGGTATCTCATATAACTTGTATCAAGGGATTGGTTCTCTACTTTGCTGATGCTGACTTCCACTGATTCATTTCTACTCTTTGTTCTTACAGTGCATTACCTATTTCTGAAATTTTAATCTTTTGGATTTCTAGTTGCTGTTTTTGTATAGATTCTAAGTGTCTGTTTATTTTGTCATTTTATGTATTGTTTTCCTAAAATCTCCTAAGGTTTGTCTGTGATGTATTTATTCTATCTGTACTTTCCTTGATCTCTTTGGGGACCCTAGATATAACTCTTCTGGTTCCTTATTAGGAAGTTCCATTATCAGTTCTTCCTCAGAGAGGTTTCCTGATTATCTATTTTGGATACTAACTCACCATCTTGTCCTGCTTCTGTAGCTGATTTGATATTACCTGCTGTTTCTGAAGTACTACATGTTAGTATATGTATTCACAAATTATATGTTTGTTATGTTTTGTTTCAGTGTATCCAGGCAGCGGATGGGCATGCTACTCTGTTCACTACCTTGCTCACTGGAGCACTCACCCACCATCTGCCTCTAGATGGGAAGGGTAATGGCTGGGTGTGTGTGTTTGAGGCTGTTTGCTGGGGTGGCTGAGGGTGGTTGGGCATGCTGTCTGTCGCTGGTCCAGTGGTGCTCACTGAGTGGGGAGGGGAGAGGTGTGGTGGGTGTGAGTGGCTAGTCAGGAAACACTCACTATTTCCCACCTAATGGTCCAGCCCCACTGCCATCATCTCACACAGAAGGTGGGGAGCAGTAAGGAAGGCATGGGAAAGCAGCAGGCAGGAGGAGGAAGGGAGCAGCAGGCAGGTGTGTATGTGAGGTCACACCACTGTAGCCTCTTACTGAGCAGGAAGGGAGGGAGCTCACTGGGCTGGAGGGTGGGAGTGGAAGGGCAAGCAATGAGCAGATGACTGACGCTGTACCTGAGCAATCTGCCACCACTCAGCTGCATCAGCTGGTAGAAGGGGCAGGGCAAGTGGGCAGAGCTGTTCTGGGCAGCCTGGGGTTACTGGACAGAGGAAAAGAATGGTGATCAAGGCTGTGAGAGGAGGGAGGCAGTCAGAGCTGCACAAAGGAAATGGGAGAGTTCCTACCTTGGTGGGGGATTCAGCTATGAGGGGAAGGGGCAGGGAGTTTGTGCTGCTTATTACCAGGAGGGTGGAGGGAGGGAGAACATGCTCCACTGGTCACTGAGCAAGGGTACCTGGACTATTCCCAGGTGGCTGCAGCCAGCAATCGGGAACTTTTTTTACTCTGCGTATGTCTACACAGTTACTCTATGTCTTGTTGGACATTCCACGAGGTTGTCCTTCATGTCCTCACCT